TTCATAATAAGCTAAGCTATATTTTCTCCAAGTATTCCGCCATATTCTGGCTAAGGGCCGCAGATGGACCAGCCAGTCTCTTCACACAGAGATAAACATTCCCCGATGTAACTAATCGAATAGACTCTCTCGTTTCACTTTCCGGGACGGCGAATGGCCAGCGCGACCGTCGAGCACCATGAAATAGCAGCGTCTTGACGAAAAGTAATTATTAGCCCCACTGTGAAGATTCGGCCATCTTGGGTCCCCTCAGAAAGCCGCTACGGGGTTTCCTGTGCTGCAGGCGCAGGGCCGCCACAGTTTAAAGACACAGTGCGCCAAAATGTCGTAACAGCAAACACTCACTGCTGGTGAAAAAGAAAGGGACATGGAGAGGAATGTGAATGAGGGTGAAAGTAAGCGCGCAGCTCCGTGTACTAATGACTGATACAGCACGCGTAAAGAGAATAAACCTCATACTGTTTTTGCCATTCTGTTGAAAGAAATGCAGATGTGTAGAGTTGTGCTGTTGTTTTGGTCTCTGTGTACAAAGTACAGTACACTTGTAGTTTCATTAATTCCATTCATTATAAGTAACTGGGCAAACTAGTCCATACAATCCTATTCTGCTGCTGGTCAACCAGTCCAGTCTCAGCTTTGGAATAGGGTTAACCAAGTAATAAAGTCCTTATAATAGCATAGCCAGTGTGGTCAACCAGCCATGGTTGCACCACCAGCTCAAATATTATGAAACTGTAAAAATGACTTACTAACTACATTTTTAGTGTTGCTCGTCCATGCAAAATTTGCCACCACAAATGCTAAGGGGTTGGTGTCGCCAGAGCTTTGTTATGTGGTTGCTAGTGTGTTGAGGGTTGTTATTAGCCTATGTGGTGTGCAGGATGAGTGATTTCTGAATTCAGCCTCTGTTAACAGTATAGGCCCATCTATCAAGTTAACAGAAATGTTAAAGTCAGCATGAAATGAAAATTCACCTTATATTTACTAAATTCACCCTAATGATCTTATTGTGAACTATTTATCCATTCGTGTGTTTGTTCATGTATTTATTTTAACCTCATGATTTTTAATCAAAATGTCATAATTTGATCTTCCAGTGAAACGACTGACCTCTCCTTATATTTAGTCTGCTTAAATCATGCACCTTTCTTACAACTGACCTCAAGCTTGCATTCATTTTTGCCTCGCTCCATCCAATCAACAACTGATGGATGGAACCAATTCCTGTCCTACATTTTTCCGATAATGTGTTTTACTCTGATGTATATCACATTATGGAATAAAATATCTGTTGCTTCTTCTGTTATGTCATGACTTTATGGTGCAAACAGATGGACCAACACAGTCATGGCAATTGATTACTATTTTACGTTTTGAGTTGATTGTTAGGTTTAGGGACTGATTTCACTTCCTTTTTATATGTATGTATGTATGTATGTATATATATATATATATATATATATATATATATATATATATATATATATATATATAAACATATTTCCATAAAAATCACAAATGTGTGTGATAAACACTGCAGTTTCCCATTCAGAAATTGGGCTAAAAAGCACAGATCAAGTTAGACTGGCCATGCCTGTTGGGGTTAAATTGCAAATCTGTTACAAAATTGTTGTAGCTTTATCTTACACTTCTAGTATTAGTGTTTATTGGTACTTTAAAATTTTGTGCTCAGCCTCAGCTGTTTCCTTAGTTGCCCAGTAACTGTCATAAACAGAATGCATGCACTTCCTCACAAGTTGGTAAGTAGTTTCCAATAACATTGAAACTACACAGTAGATCATGCAACCCACAGAACATAAAAAACTGTTTGGGGTTTCCAATACCAGCACCAAGCATATATCAGTCCAAAAAGTATTGGTAACCTACTGGTCTTAGTTACTGCTAATGCAATTTAATACTTCATTACAAGACAGATGTTGATCAGATTTTTAACAAATTATAATGAAAGCCCCAGGGATAACATTAACTTATAAATGATTTTGTACTAAGGGTAAAACAGGGGAAAAGAGTTAAGTATTTCAGAGAAGAATTTGTTCAGCAATCTGAAAAATTAACAGTGTAGCTGATAAACAGGACATTCATGCCACAGTACAGTGTGCTGCTGACGACTGAGAGTTGAAAAACAGGACAGTCTTGCTGCACTGTTTAATGTTATTCGCACTTGTTTCAGAAGACACCAGCTGCTTTTAGACTTAAACTTTCCCCATGTTCCTTAAAGGATTTGTTATCTGGAATTCTAGTTTTCACTAAAATCTAATTTTTACTCATGGTCAGGATGCAGAATTTTGAAGCATCTAAGTTTTTAAACGCAACCAGGTCTGAGCTCATTAAATATATATTTTTTTCAATTCTAATATACTTTAAGGTGTAATTTATTACTGCGATGAAGCTGAATTTTTAGCAGCCATTACTCCAGTCTTCAGTGTCACATCCTTCAGAAATCATTCGAACATGCTGATTTGCTGCTCAAGAAGCATTTTCTATTATCATTGTTGAGACAGTTCTGCTTAATCTTTTTCTATACTCCTTTTTCAGTATTCTTTGATGAATAAGATGGAAAGAACAGTATTTATCTGAAATATAACTCTTTTGTAACACTTCAAATTTTTTCAATGTCAATTTAGATAAATCTAATCCATCTGTGCTGAATGGCATTTAATTCTTTCAAAAAATCTTTTGAACATTAGTGCATGTTAAAAGAAAAAAACAGTACTGACATCAAAACTTTGTGTGAGATTTTTATTATTTTCCAGTGGTGACTACTGGATACATACACAAAACAAAATCTGTAACAGCACCGAGGACAAAAGATGACTCAGAACCATCTCCATAATCTGAAATGTGTAAATTTTTTACTTCACTGAACAATTAAACCACAATTTAAAAAAAAGAAAAAAAACATCAATTGAGAGGGATTGAAAAAAAATCCCTTTCCCTACCCCAATCTTACCCTTTAGTCTGATAAATATCCAAGTCCCTAACTTCGGTTACAAAAATGCGATTTAAAATCCAAAATATTTTCAATCTATGCTTTGACTTACTGACTGAACAGACAGGCATTCAACAAAATCTGAACTAAGCGGCATCACTTCACCACTTAGCTCATCTATGTTTGTCCTGTGATGTAGCGTAGGTCTGATAGAGTTGGGGACTAGCATCAGAAATAATTCAGCCATTTACACTCCTTATTTTCCCGCCTGCTGGGCTTGGCGCCTCAGCAGCACGTAGATCTTTTCTTTGATCCAGTCTTTGTTGTAGGGCTGGTAGGTTTGTGTGTCTGCCCTGTACCTGTTTAAATGACCAGAGAATAGGAAAATTACTACATTGTTCAAAGCATTTGTACCCTTGTACATGATCGATGAGATGCTGTGTTAATTTACTTACACAAGACAGCTGAGGTCAGCAAGATCATCAACAAAGTCGAATAACTGGCTTATGTCATATGTGATGGAGGGACTGTTGGGGTTCATCCTCTTCAGATGCTCTTCATACATCTTACACACTCCTTTTATTAGAGAGAAAAAAGAATCACGCATAAGAATTTTTCATAACATTAATCTTGCCCTTTATAATCAAAATAACAATTTTACCTTCCATGCATTCGTTGACAGACTCATAGTCTGCATATGTTCTGCCTTCTGGTCTCTTGGTGGGCTGCACCAGCAGAATTGTGTGAGACTGAAAATCAGAAGGAAAAAAGTAAGTGTAAATACATACTACATACATTTTGACTGGTGTACACATTTTGGAGGAAAAAAAGATGTAAAAGCTGGATTAAAAACACTGTACATATAAATACATACACCATATATGACCCAATCATGTAGAGCCCCTACTGCCAGTAAAAGAGCTTTGACTCCTAACAGTGAGATTAATAGAGCATACTTATTTTCAAATGGATGTCATCTTAATCTGACATTCAATCCAACCGTCCCTGTTTGGCATATGAACTAAGTAAACTTAAAGATAACTCGAACGTTCAAACGGAATCTCTGACATAAGACCCTGAAAAAAGCAGCTGTTGAACTCCAACCCTCCCCCCAAACAAAACAGCCTAGATGCTTCTTACAAATGCAGTTACTACGACGGGTGAAACTAAACACAAGTTTAAGTCATACTTTATATTAAGTGCTTAACTTTGTAGAGGAAAGTCTAGAAATGTTCCAGCAGATTTCACAACTCGTTCATTTCGTGAATATTCGACGTTATCTCGCTACACTGCTGCTAGCTGCGTGCGTTCACTCACTTGAACATTTCTTGCCAGTGCAGCCGACGAAACACGACTTCCTGACCAGGCAAACGTCTATAATATTCACCAGAATACAAAATACAGCAGTGAAATACTTACCATATCTGGTTCTGGTAACTAAATGTCGCGATGAAGGCTGTGGTAACCGCTGACGGCTAATCACGGAGAGCAGCTACAGAAAGAACAGAAATGTGCAACGAATTATCCACTTCCGGTAGTGGCGATGACGCGTCGGATTTTCAAAATTAAAGTCTTGTGACAAAATTGCAGAAATTGTGTGCAGTTTTAAAGTGTATTTATTTATTTATTTTAGTTTGACTGGAAATGTCACGGCACTGGTAAATATCAGCAAATAATAAGGGTTAAGTTCTTAGATTTTGTTCCCTTAAAAGCTATATTTTGCGGGGTTTTTTTTGCAACAATTTAAAATTGTATTGTGCTAAGATATAGCCAATGTACTGTGCAGACTTGTTTTGCTTTTTTATTTTTTAATATCATACTTTGTAATTTTGTATTTGTTTTTTTTAGCGTGACTTTGTAACGTTCTCAGGGACTACAGATGAAAAATAGCCTTTTAGGCTAACTCTGGCACATAGTTATGCTTATTAATGTGCACTATTCCTGTTAAATAAACTATTTTTAAAAACTTCTACCAAGACTGTCTCACATTTTGTACAAGATATTTATTTAGAGTAAATTTTTAGGTGAAATAATCGAGAATCAATGTTCTTAGTTTGTGTTAACACTTTAATGGCATATCAAGACAACTGAAGTACAAAATGTGCATAAAGTATACAATTGAAGTACAAAGTGTACAGATATAGAAACACAGAATGAAGAAAGGAAAGCTTATTTTAGCTTAATTCAGCAACAGCAATCTTATTTTCATGAAATTGGTGAAACTTCTCTATCTTGAGATTGTAATGTGTGAAAATTGTTCTTACTGTTTTGATACTGTCATGTTTGACAAATACTATAAAGTGAATGTGTTTCTCTGAATGTATAATAAAAAGCTTGAGGGGGCCATTAATATTCTTTTCCTCATTAAAACAGTTTAAACCCAAGATGCCTTTAATATCAGCATAAATGACTGAGTGTACCTTGAATAAACTGTTTTGTCTACATATATGTGAGCTGGATTTGTCTGTTGTGGGATTTCAATTACCCTTCTTTTAACCCCTTTATGCACGGGATCTCATTCTATAACCTCTGACCCCATTGATCCCTCTTCTGGATGTTGGTTCTCTTGGGGCAAGGCCTCTGGCAGAAGCCTTACATGACCGCTCACATTCCTCCTTGGAGACAAAGTTATTTCCATTCCCTTCGCAACCACCGAACCAGAATTGTGAACAAGAGCCAGAGGAAGAATCAAAGTAGAAACGAGATGTCCATTCATAACAGGATCCAACGTCTCGTGCCAAAGAGCACACACTAGCAGAGGGCTGATGGACTGGACTATAATCCTGAAAACAAAAAGATAATGTGTTGGAAAAAGTGTTTATACAAAAAATAAAATTATATGGGAGCACTAGATGGAGCATAGAGTGAAAATCCATGAGCTGTTTTACTCTATAGGGGTAATCAGGACATCCTGCTCTTCCAAAACCATTGGCAGCTGTTACTCCATCAAGGCAGCAGCCATATCTATCAACAAACAGATACACACAACATAAATAAAAGAGTGAAATATACTAATGGTCAATTCATAGGTTGTGAAGTTTTCATTATATTGAATGGATTTAATATATTAGAATAGACTGTCAGCAATTTACAAAGTTTCTATTTTATATTATTATGTATATTTTATTTATGTGAAAGTGAAAGTGACGTGACATGTGGCCAAGTATGGTGACCCATACTTGGAATTAGTGCTCTGCATTTAACCCATCCAAAGTGCACACACACAGCAGTGAACACACACACACCGTGAACACACACCCAGAGCAGTGGGCAGCCATTTATGCTGCGGCGCCCGGGGAGCAGTTGGGGGTTCGGTGCCTTGCTCAAGGGCACCTCAGTCGTGGTATTGAAGGTGGGAGAGAGCACTGGACATTCACTCCCCCCACCTACAATCCGATATTTTATATTATTAATATTTTATTTTATTTATTATTTGTGGTCTTTTCAGTGATTAAAGTGTATCTGTGGGCAGATCATTTGAGTATATGTATGTACCTAGACCTATGACAGTCATCGTGAGCACAGCCTTCCCCACGAGGCCCTGAGGCAGCAGTGTGGCCATCCGGACAGCAGCCATAATATGACTGGGCACAGTGCGGCCCAGTCACTGAGGGGTATGGATCGCTTGGTCTGTGAACTGTTAACAGAGCAAATGTAGAGCAAAAATCAGAACATATACAATAAAAATAAGCACATAAGAATTGGATACAGAAATGTAAAACTGCTTTCAAATCATCTACATATTTGTGACAGCTTTTTAACCTGAGGTTGCATCATGTGTATAAGGCACAAATCCACGCAAGGAGCTTTCATAGCCACTGGGGTCCTGCACGCTGGGCACCACTAAAGCAAAGTAACACAATACAGAATGAGTCTCATTGTAGCACAGGGCGTTTTAGACTTTTTATGCCACAGTCTGTCAAATATGATGATTCCCTTCAAGTCTAATGACTGCAGAAAATTCTGATTTTCTGAATAAAGTACATGTTAAAATATAGATGCGAGCAGCAATTATCGGGGTTAAAGAACTTTAAGGCTTTTAAACACATGTGTGAAAAGGAGTTATGTTTTATTAGGCAAGCATGTTACCACTTAGATCATAGATGGACATGACCAGTTACAGCACTTACAGTTACATGTTTTTTTAAAGTCATTTAACAGTTACAGTGCCACATATTATCTCCATAAAAGTTTGCATGCTTATTTAGAATCATATGCTACATGTGCTCACCTATTTTTGTGATGTTCTGAGTTTTCGTTTTGAAGATATAGGCTTTTGCATCCTCTTGATCATGCCCCTTTTCTAAATGACCCCGTTATAGCTAAAGTTTAAAGGTAAAGTTCAGCATTACTTTGATAATTATTGATCTAGTGAGTCCAGAGAATTGTACTGCAGTGGTTTTCTTGAGGTTTACACTCTTGAAAATGCGATTTTCAAAATTTTCACAGATCTTTAGGGCTGTGAGTCAAACATGCCCACCAAGTTTCATTCTGATTGGCCTCTGTTAACCCCATCTAATAGGTGCTCAAAAGTCATTGGTCAATGGTGGCCATGTTTTTCGAGATACACGAACGTGCTTACAGACAGCCATAGCACTTTGGACACAGACACAGCATGTGAATTTTCAAGTCCATCGGACAAACAGATGCATAGTTATAGCCATTTTTATGTTTTGCCCTATTATAGCACCACACAGTGGCACAGATGCCGCGATTTTACTCATGCCATCTCAGATTGAGGTCTTACATGTGCATATCGAGTTTGGTGTGACTATCTAATTCTGTTAAAAAGGTATAGACGTTTTATGAAAAGTGACCCGTGTCTGAAGCATATATTGAAAAAACACCAACTCGTTGGCCAGCGACAGCCATGACGTCACTACCGGTGCGACTATAGTATAAATAGGCGCCGGGAGCTACACATCATTCACTTCTTCATCTGAAGCTTGCGTCCGCAGCATGGCAAGAAACCTAGAGGACGCAGTGTCTCGTTCCCTACTCAGGGAACCATGGTTACATAAGTAACCCGAGACGTTCCCTTTCATGGGAACTTCGAACTGCGTCCTCTAGGGGTCACTATGGGGAACGGTATACCCACGCCACCATGCTGAGGGGAGTGCAAGCCAGAACCATGGCGAGCACTAAGTACCAACTCTACCATATTGCTATGGGAGTCGCCCCTGGGACGTTAGACGACTGTCAGTGATGTTATTCCCTACGGCCAAAGGCCTAGTCTACATACCCCAAAATACTTACCTGTTAGGGCCAGACTCCTGGGCCCGGGGTAGAGCTCAAGGCTTGGAATCAGAAATAGATTCCTTTAAGGGAATACGACCAAGAGCCTAGAATCATACTAGTCTTGGTCTGTCACACAGGGGCTACCGCACGTTATACACACAACCACCAGTCTCATTAGATACACATATATATTCATATATACATACAGTATATTAGGCACGGATCGTACTCACCCACCATGGTTCCCGCGTCAGAGCTCTGTCTGGAGAAGCCTCTAGACCGGACCATCAGTAAGATGGTCACTATGAAGCCATAGAACCAACCAAACCTAATAGGTC